GGTTCTACGTTAGTAGACATTCCCATTATAATTTGACTGATATTCAATTTTTGCCATGTACTCTTCTTGAATTTTAGTAAAAATGCTAATAATCGTATAACAGCAATTAAACCAACTGTTATTAAGATTAAATAGACAAATTCTACTGAAACTTCAACATCTTTGGTAAATTTTGCTTTATGTGGAATTATTGCTTGAAGAACCTTCAGTTGTAAAACACGTATATACTTAATCTTTTTCTTTGAATTAATGGGAGTGTCTAAAATGCTTAATGAAAATCTTTCTTGTTGATTGTTATCTTTATTTCTTAAGTCCGTTAAAAAACTCGACAATTCTGGACCTTCTTTGTTAAATGTTATTGTACTTTTAAGCAATAAAAGAGGTAACTTTTTAACTTTAATACATGACACACGTAAAAAACTTTTTAACAATTCCTCAGCCTTTATGATTTTTCTTACAGACGAATTTTTTTTAATGAAATGACTTGGAAACCATTGACTTTTAGATTCTACCGTCGTCGTGGAGTATTTTTTACCAAAAGGTTTTATTTGTCTTGAAATTTCTAATTTTTCATAACTTCTTTCAATTTTCATAGGTTGCGATACATTAATCCGTTGTAATAAAGTAAAGTCAAAATAATTTTTTTTCCAGAAAGAATTAAAAATACTATCAATATTCTTCTGACTTAGGGGAAAAGTGATTACAACTAAACACTTTGGTTTTGACGGTCCTTTCAATAAATCTTTTTCGTCTTTAAAAAAATCGTCAAATGTGTATAAAGTACTCTCATTCATCCACTGTAAAATGAACAATGTAGTAATTTTAGGCCGCACGAACAATTTGAATCTATTCTCTCTATAGATGGAATTTGTCATTTCACTGTAACATATGCTCAAAGTTGGAAAAAACAAATTTACTCTTGTCATAAGTGAAATCATCAATGATTCTGTAGTGTTTGGTGAATCGTCAACAACAAACACCACCTGTCGCAATTTTGAATCCTCCTTGAGATACTTGATCAATTCATCGTAGTAATTACTTTTTAAAGATATTCCTGGTGCTTCACCCTAAGAAATATAAAGGAAAAGAAATAATCCTTTCAACTTCATTGTATACAACCACTTTCTTTGCAAAACAAAAACGGACTGTTTGAGAAATAACAAAGTACTTCATTATACATATTCTCTATTTTCAAAAAAGCAATAAAATTTATATAATTTAGAAATTGAAATGTAATGTATATAATTTAATATTATTATCCTTATTTTCCCGGCTAATATCCAGGAAACTGTTTTTTGTTCACTTTAGATATTTGCAATTACAAGGGACTTAATATTTATTTAATTTTCCTAATATTATTTTTCAATTTAATTTTACTAATATCAAAAATTTCAAATTAGTGTATATATTACTGACTTATGTAATATCCAAAGGGGAAGATAATTGAGAAAAAATGTCTTTATTTTTATCAGAAAACCTTGAAAGGCAATTTTGCTTTAAATTTCAATGAAAAAAAAGGAAATGTATAAAAAGAAAGTTAATAAAATGACATGTAATCAATATAACGTAATGGTATTGGAGAAAGTTGAAAAATGTATGATGATGTGGTACAAAACGACTACGCGTCACTATTGGAAAATTTTGTTTTTACTCACTTGCTAGTAGCTGACGTCATGACATGACATTAAATATCTATAAATGACGTCATTTTATGACCTGAAGATCGCAATTTCTGAAAGATTCTTCAAAATCCTATCTTGAACGTTTTTTCAAAATTACCAAGAATTTTTATAACAAATTCTGTTATCAATTCATTTATAATTTATAATTTTTTTTAACCAATATTGCTATTTATAATTTAACCAAAAGTAATTTGACTAAAACAATCGTCGACTGCCACTCTATTTTTTTGTTACTCTTTTTATTTCAGAATGAGTGTGTCAACTATATATAGCGAAAAAATGTGTGGAAGAAGAAGAAAGAAAACTAGAGGCGCCACGGCGAGAAGTCGAAGCAGTCAGTTTCGCTGCCGGACTAGAGACAAAGTGTCAAAGTGGACCGAGTAGTCAACATCATCTGTAATTCAATGAATTACTTGGTGACAGATAATAAAAAAGATTCTTAAATATGGTGTTTTTTCTAAAACTATTTGCACTTTGTGATTGTATAATTATCAATTAAATTACCAAGAATCTATAAGTCAATGACAAAAAATTGTACTATTACATCTTATAATTTATTTCTCAACGAATCGCTTGGTGACAGATAATAAAAAAGATTCTTAAATATGTTGTTTTTCCTAAAAGTATTTTCTCTTCGTGATTCTATAATTATCAACTAAATTATCAAGAATCTACAAGTCAGTGATAAAAAATTGTACTATCACATATTACAATTTATTTCTCAACGAATCACTTGGTGTCAGATAATAAAAAAGATTCTTAAATATGGTGTTTTTCCTAAAACTATTTCCTCTTCGTGAATCTATAATTATTATCAACTAAACTGAATTAACAAAAATCTCCAAGTCAGTGATAAAAGAATTATCAAATCTTAATGTCTGTTTCTTAATTAATTACTTGGTGACAGATAATAAAAAAGATTCTTACATATGGTGTTTTTTCTAAAACTATTTTCTCTTCGTGATTCTATAATTATCAACTAAATTACCAAGAATCTATAAGTCAGTGATAAAAAATCGTATTATCACATCTTACAGTTTATTTTTCAACGAATCACTTGATGACATAAAAAGTTTTTTATAATCTGATGTTTTTCCTAAAACTATTTTCTCTTCGTAATTCTATAATTATCAACTAAATTACCAAGAATCTCTTAATAAAAAAAAGTAAATTAATATTGCTTTACATACTTTCAGGCGCGTAAGCAAAAGCTTATTTTTTTATTTCTTCCTTTTAAATTCAACTTTTTCAAAGAAATATCGTGTCTTATAATTCCAATTAGTTTCGAAGTAAATACTTTTTAAAATTTCCAACACCGCTAACTTTAAATTGAATTAAATTTTCAATAAGCCTCCATTGGAAAAATCCCCGAGGAAATAATTCAATTAACAATGGGAAAATAGAGGTTGAGAGGGGAAAAAAAGCAAGAATTGCACTTCGATATTTTTGTGCGATATTAAAAAAATAAATAAATAAAAACAAAAGGGAGCAGTTGGTAAAATTGAAATATCTTTGCAATGGTTAGGGCAAAAGTAACAAGAGAAGATGATTTAAAAGATCAAAATTAAAATCTTGAGTTTCAATGTACAATACCAGATGTCCTATCACAATTCTTTCTCTTTTCTCAATTCATTCTTCGTTTATTCGCATTCTTTTCCCGTTTCTTTTATTTCTTTCTTGTCAGAGATTTCTTTTTTTTTTGCTCCGTATTCTTCTTACCTAGTTGCAGTCAAGACTCTGGGTGTGTAGGACTTTAGAAACGGGACGTGGTACTAATTAACGTGACGCTTCGCCGTTCTTCTTTTTTTTTTACTTTTTTTCTTTAAAGCGTTACGAGACTTTTCCAAAAAAATAAAAATAAAAAAACCTCAATTTGCCTGAAATGCGAAAAAAGAAAAATTGTAACACAGTTTCTTTCGTTGAATTTTATCTCCTTTTCCACAAACATCCTGTCTAATAAATCTTACGTTTGATGCAATTCAGTTTTTTTTATTCTAGTTTTATTCTTATTCTTATTTTGTTTTTTGTTGTCTGTAACCTGTTAAAAAAATTTATAATTCAACTGTAATTAAATTTTTTTTGATAATATAGATAGTAAATTTTGTTGTAACCTAATTTATAGGATATCCACAAAAAAAGTTTTCAAATGTATCGAATACTTAGAAAATTCTATTTCTCAATTTTAATTGATTTCATTTAGATGTTTTCATTTTATTTAATTTATTTTTAATTCGATGTCTTTTAATTCAAATTTATTTCTAAAGTATTTAAAAAGCACTGTTACTTTATTATTTGAAGAAATTAATGTGTTTCGCTTATATTGATTATTTTATGAGTTATTTAATATTTATGAGTTTTTAGTGCAACTTTATCAGTGTTTACATATATTTATGAGTTCCACGTAAACTACAATTTTGTTTATGGATTATTACAGCTAATGTCAAAATTGTAAAATTATATGTAAAAATTATTTGTAATGTAATTACAGATGTAAAATTATTTTATTTGCGGAGATCATTTTATGAGTTATCCCGGATTTATGAGTCCCATGATAAATTTTTATGAGAACGTTTACTTGAGTAAGCATTTATTAAACAATATAAAATAATTAAGGAAAAATAAAAATTTGCAATCAACTATATAAAACAGTTATTCAATGTCCAAGAAAGTATAATAAATATTCGATAATAAAATTTTATCTTATCTTCTTTAATTTTATTCTTTATATTAATTAATTGGTTATCAGTAAGCTAAAATGATTATAAAAAATAACGATGAAAAAATAATATTTCTTAAAAGGTCCTTGTGGGGTTCTTGCCAGATTTTCTTGTAGAACCATTTTTATAAGATCTGAGCGTCACTGAAAATGCCCAACCATTTCCTGTTAGAATTCAGTTGTTGATAAGGAATCTTAGGAAAATTTGTACATGGTTAATTAATTTTTATAACAATATGAGTTTCAGAAGAAACTTAATAAGTTATTTGCAAATACCAAATAGTTTATGAGTTACTCGAGAAATGTTTCCTCTCACGATATTTTCTGCAAAATATAAACAAGAAATAGTAGTGATATGTAAACGGAATTCGACATTTAGCAAAATAAAAAAAATGAACAAAAATCGAAAGTCCACGCGCTGTAAAACATCATTGACACAGTTGCAAGTGGATCGTCCTGCGAGGAGAGATGATTCACCCACAGAGCTAGGGAAAACACATCTCGGGGAGATTTCACCCAAAAGTGGCTTCAATTCTCGCCGTTCCTCGGAAGTTTAGTAGTGGTAGCAGAAGTAGTAGGAGTAGTAGTCTCGTAGTAGTAGTGGTAGAGATAGTGATAGAGAGTAAAGGTAGTGGTAGAGGCGGTGGTGGTGGTAGTAGTACGTTCAAACGGAGTTGCATACGTGTTGTGTGGAATATCCCTACCCTTAAGTCCGTGGTTCTTTTCAGGTGCGATGTAGCCACCGTCGTCATTTATTTTGGGGATGTTTTAGATGATAATGCGCAGGCGCAAAATAGTGGCGCGCTGCGTCGGCGTCGGGGGTGTGCGTCGTAACGTCGACGACTTTGACGCTACGAGAAAATCAGAGAGAGGTGGCCAGTATCAACGGGAGCCGTCGTGAGGGTCGATCCTCCACTTCCTCCCATTTTAATTCTCTTTCCCTTTTTATCCCCTCATATACATTCATACACACACACAAACATACATATCTATACATACATAGAAAATACAAACGAGAAAAACGGCGAAGGGATGCTCAGTTATAACAAAGCGTTGCCGCAGAGGAACACGGAGACGAGGATCCGTTGTCTTTTTATTATACGTCGATCGTAAAACAAGACGTCGTTCAACTAATAACAAATATTTCGGGGGGAAATATAACCAAGGAAATATAATAATAAAAAGAGAAGAGAGAAAAAATGGGGCGTACGCGAACCGACGAGTCGCGGATCGATCGTCAAATAACTTGGTGCTAACCTGACTGCTCACTGTTACTATAACAAAAAATCTTTTTTTCTTAAAATCCTTTCCCTCTCTCTGTCTTTTTCTCTTTCTCTCTCTCTCTGTCTCTCTCTGTGTCTTCTTTCTCTCTAACCTGAAGTCCTCCATTTTCGAACTTCATCATTCTTGCAAATACAAAGCTGTTTGTGATTATTTGTTTTTCTTTTGTCACAAAATCATGAGCTCTATGATGATGAATGACGATTAGTGATGTTGATAAAGAGGTTGATGAACCTCATTGGTTATAATTGGAAAGTGTGTCACGAACTGGCCTCGAGGGCAACGTCGAGGTTAGGTTGAGGGTAGAGACCCTCCATGTGAAGCGACGGTGAAAACGCGGAGTGAAGTGATTGTTGAAAATTTTTTTTCTGTGGATTATCAGTGTACGCGCGGGGATTAAAAAAACAAACATGGATCAATTATCAATTGGATAGTATTTTATTTCTACTTTAATGATTTGTAAATATAAAAAAGCAGCTTGACCTTTTTTGGAGGTTAGGTTGGAGGAGGAAAATGACTCGCGATTGGTGTGTCATTTTTTTACTGTTCCCGTTATTGGGTCAGACTTTGACATTTGTCCTTGAGGGCTCGGCAACGAGTTATGCACAATTCCGTAAATGGAATGCGGCATTAAATGGTACATTGGAATTTGAATTTAAAACAGAGCAGGGCAATGGATTATTATTATATACGGACGATGGTGGGACATATGATTTTTTTGAAGTGAAATTAGTTGAGAGTGCGTTAAGATTGAGATATAATTTAGGTGGTGGTGCACAAATTGTTACTGTTGGTCGTGATTTGGGTGATGGTCATTGGCATAAGGTGCAAATAACGAGGAATAATGAAAATACAACACTCAATGTTGATGGTGTCGCTGCAACGTCAACATCAAGGGGAAAGGAATTTGAATTTGGTAAAATTAATGGAAATTCGGATGTTTATATTGGTGGTATGCCGAGTTGGTATAATAGTAAACTCACTCTATTAGCTCTGCCGAGTGTTATATTTGAGCCTAGATTCAATGGGATCATTAGGAATCTCGTTTATCCTGATGGAAACAACTATGTGCCAAGGAGACAGGAGATGAAAAGTCGTGACGCAAAGGTGAGTTTTGCTTTCAAAAAATAAATTTATAGTGAAATAAATGTTTTCGTTTTTCCAAAGAAAAATTGCTTATTATCCTTTGCCGAGGAAAGGAGTTTTCTCTCTAATGTGCGATTTCTGAAAGCAAATAGAGATTTTTCTTTTAAAGGAAAATAGAGGTAATTTTAGAGACAAATGGAATCATCTTACGGAAAATGAAAAGATTTTACAGAAAAATGTGATAATACGAAATTTTGCTATCGATAATTTTTTTATTATTTAGTGATTCTTGGTAGTTTAGTTCGTAATTATAGAATCATGAAGAAAGAACAGTTTTTAAAAAAATCATATTTAAGAAACTTTTTATTATCTGTCACCAAGTTATTCATTTATGACATAGAAATTCTTGGCAATTTAGTTGATAATTATAGATTCACGAAGAGAAAATAGTTTTAGGAAAAACATCATATTTAAGAATTTTTTTTGTTATGTCACCAAGTAATTAATTGAGAAATAGACATTAAGATTTGATAATTCTTTTATCTTTGACTTAGCGATTCTTGGTAATTTAGTTGATAATTATAGAATCACGAAGAGAAAATACTCTTAGAAAAAGAATTATATTATGAAAACTTTTCATAATTTTTTTTCTCCAAGTGATTCACTAAGGCTCAAACATTAAGATTTGATAATACTGTACTTTTATATTTATGGCTTAGAAATTCTTGGTAATTTAATTGATAATTATAGATTCACGAAGAGAAAATAGTTTTAAGAAAAACACCCTATTTAAGAATCTTTTTTATTATCTGTCACCAAGTTATTAATCGAGAACAGACATTAAGATTTGATAATTCTTTTATCACTGACTTGGAGATTTTTGTTAATTTAGTTGATAATAATTATAGATTCACGAAGAGAAAATAGTTTTAGGAAAAACACCATATTTAAGAATCTTTTTTATTATCTGTCACCAAGTAATTCATTGAGTAACAGATAATGTCTACTCGCAGTTTGCTTCCACTCTACTACCTTATTTCTGGGTCCGCGGTGGGACTGATTACTTTGAGTTCTTGCCGTGGCGCCACTAGTCCTCTTCCTCCGTCTTCCATGCCTCTTCTTCGAAATCCCATTAAATTCCTTGAACTCTCGACTTTACAGTTTCCTAAAAGAAATTAAAAATACAGTAAAAGTTATTCAACATTTTTCTATTAACACTTATAAGAAAAGAATAAATCAAAAATATTGGTGATTTAAAAAAATGTTATTGCATTTCAGGAAGAAAATAGAATTTTTTTTAACAAAATGAAGGTAATTTTAAAGACAAATGGAATCATCTTACAGAAAATGGAAACATTTTACTGTAAGATGTGATAATGCTGTAATTTTTTCTTTTTTTTTCTAAGAAATTTTTCTCAGATGTCATTTTGAATGAATCTTCCACAGAAAAAAATAAAGAACATTCCTAAAGATGATTATTTAAATTTAAAATTGCACATTAGGGAATATTTCGAAAAAATTACCATTTTGCTCTGAATATTTCTTCCATTTTGTAACAAATATTTTCTTTTAATTTTGCTACAAATACTTTAACTATACTTTACAAAATAAATAAATGTTCGCTGATCTCAAAAGGAATTTTAGTGTAAATTTGTAAGTTATCCAGAAAGCATTCTAGTTCAAATAAAATAAAAATGTTCAGAAGCTTATCCTAGTTTGTCTAAAAATAGCACCTTGATGTTTGAATGATTTGAAAAAAACTGTTTTGAAACTATTTTCAACTAAATGTTTAAAAATAATTACAAAAAGTCTGTTTTTCAGAATGAAAAAAGAAAGTAGGGTAAAAAAATATTTTCAATGATTCGGAACGTAGATAGAGAACTAGCATTAATGACTCCATTATATGCTTATCGAGCATAATAATAGAACCAATAATGATTAAAAGAAAAGATTTTGCATATTGATAAAGAAAGGTAAATATCAAGAGGGATTCTAATTGTATTTCGTTGCATGTTGTCCGTACACTTGAAATGCAATAAAAAATTACTGTTGTTAAAATTAATCCATAAATATGTATATATATTTTTCATTCCTACTGTAATATACCATTAAAACTGAATTAATAAATAAAGTGAAAAGAAATTCACCAATTACTGCGAGAGTTTGGTAGAAATATAGCAGTAATTAGTACACTTAAATAGAAAAATAGAAATTAAAATGATGAATAGAAAAAAACCATTAGATCATCCTTCTAAAATTGTTTTTATTAATTTTCTTTTTGATTAATTTTTAAAATTGAAAATATGTTCAAAAGAAGGTTTTTCTTTAAAACCTTATTCCTTTCTATCCTTTAGAGAAATGCCTTAATTTTTGTTCGTTTTATTGGATTCCTTTTGAACTTAAGAAAAATTGATAAATCAGAAACTTGTACTTACTTTGATGGCAGGTAATACTATCGCCACTGAAAAAGAGTTTATTAAAGTCATATAAACTTTTCGTACTTTGAAAAGTAGTCTCTCTCTCCTTCTCTCTACTTAGCTTTCAGACTGAAAAAATTAAAAGTTATTGTTTGATGCATTTCTTTGGCCATTTTATATGCCTGTAAATTTTTTTGCTCCAATATTTCTTCTCTTAATGTCGTAAAAATGCGAAAAACTCCTAATTAAATGTTTTACTAAGTTCATTATAAAACACAAAATGAGAAAATGGTGAAATTTAAAATGAAAATAAAAAATAGAAACAACAGATAAGAAATGTAGGAGTAATTAGATGTAAATTTAAAGAAACAAGAAAAAAAGAAAACCTTAAAGAAAAAGGTTATCCTTAAAGTTTTCATGATTTTAAAGAAATCAATACTATTCCAAAAAGCTTTTACATTTTAATTACTGTGAAATTATTCCAGTTTTCTCTCGATATCATCTCTGGCAAGGTTTAAGAATTCAACCTCAACCTCAATTCTTTCTCATTTTAATTTTCAAACTCATTTGAAAATCTCCATTTTCCCTTTTTCCATTAATTACCATCTTCTAATTTTCTTACACATGTTTGGCATATTCAAAATGTTGGTTTTTAATTATCTTTAATAATTTTTCTGTTTCCTTATTTGAAAATAAGCATGTAATAGAATTTTTCTTTTCATAAAGAATATTATTTTGTGTGTAAAGAAATTTTTTTTTCCAATTTGAATTAAATTTTTTTTTTTCAACGTAGTGGTGAAAAAATTTTTTTCTCACTATTTAAAAAACTAGTGAATCATCAATCGAAATGTTTTTCAGGTTAAAAAAAGTAAATATTCCTTCTAGGAAAGAATATATAAAAGCGAAGGGTATAATTTTAGAGAAATAAAAAAAAACCCCTTGACTTGTCATTACGAGAAAATAAAATTTTTTTTTAAATGTTGAGATTCATAAAATGGAAAATTTTATAACCACAGTCTATTATTGCCCTCGAGAGTTCATCAGATGCACAAAAAATGATAGCCAGGAAATGCGTATCGAGGTTAATGGATAGTCAACCACTGTGGAAAATCGATTGAAAAGTACATAACGCACTAACCCTCGTAAATGTGGACTTATTTTCCCCTACCCTTTCACATTCATAGTGTGCACCACGAAATTTTTCATCGAACATCAGAGAGAGGGTTGTCTGCTTCACCCTGGTCTACCTATATATCTCTTTTACTTTTTACACACAATTGTCGAGGTGGTTTTCAAAAAAAAAAAAAAAAAGTTGACGTGGTGATAAATTCAGGTCAACTGTTTATATTGTTGCAATGTTGTGTCGCGCTCGATTCCAACAGAAAAGTTATATGCCGGGATGCGTTATTGTTACAGGAGCAATAATACGTCGTTAAAAGCAGCGAAGCGTCCTGTTCCATTGTTACTTTTTCACGGATTACAGATTTTGTTTTCGAACAAGAAATTCGCCTCTTGTGATATTTATGCAAAAAAAATTTTAAATTCTTACACTTTCTTTTTTTTGGAAAAAAAAGTTGTTGATATTTTTCTTTGTCAGTTCTATATTTTTTGAGATAGAAAATAAAAATATTCTTTCAGTTACAATCGAAGGCTTTTTGTGAAAAAATCATTAAAAATTATGTTTTTCTTACTCTGTCTTTGAACATAACCTCTAATTGCAGGAAATTGAAAGTCTTTGTCTGAATGAATAATTTACTGTTCGGATAATGTTTATTCTATTTGTGGTCCACTTATCTAGTGGCATTTATAATTTAGTTGATAATTATAGAATCACGAAGAGAAAATTTTTGTTTGATTACACTTTTATGGAATATATATTTTTTAAGTCTTTTAGAAATTCTTGGTAATTTAGTTGATAATTATAGAATCACGAAGAAAAAATAGTTTTAGGAAAAACATCATATTTAAGAATCTTTTTATTATCTGTCACCAAATGATTCATTGAATAGCACATGATATCGAATCGCTGTTCGCTTCCACTCTACCAGTATGTTTCTGGGCCGGGGCGGGACTGTCTACTTCGTTCTCTCGCCGTGGCGCCACTTGTCTTCTTCCTCCGTCCTCTAAGCATCTTCTTCAAAATTCCACTCAATTTCTTGAACCCACGACCTCGCAGTTTCCTAAAAACAAATTAAAAAAAACAATAAAAGCTATTCAACCTTTTCTTTATTGCACTTACATACGACAAAAGAAATCACCCGACAATGTGGGGTTTAAAAAAAATACAACTGAATTTATTTTTCAAAAAAAGCAGAATCGTAAAATTGAAGGGTCTTTTATATTTCTCCCTTTTGCATTGCACGTAAATACACATAGTATGTGTGTGTGTGTAACAAAATGAAAAACTTTTATAGCCACTGTAAAAAAGGAAAACAGAACTTGATTTTCATGTTGTATCTAAAGTCTTCCCTGACTTTGGCATTTTACTTTGACCAGTGAAAAGTTTTACACTCGAATTACAACATTTACGACACCTTTTAAGTTTATACATTGCAAGTGAGAAAATGGTTGGTAAACATAAAGTTAAAGGAATTCACGTTGAGA